GCACGGCGCATGTCCGCCCGCGCCGCGCCGGCAGCAGACGCTCCCCCCCGCCGCCAAACTCACCACCATCTTCTGCATGTGCAACATTCGCAGCCGGACAGAAACCGCTCCCCGGCGATGGAGACTGCGGGAAAAATCCGCGGCGGCGGGATGGCTTGCTGAAAAAAAAAGAGGCAGAGAATAGCAAACCCATACTAAAACAAACAAAGAAAAGAAAGGAAAAAAAAGAAAAAAGAAAGGAGGAAACCTCTCTTTTTCTCCCCTTTCCCTCTTTTTTTTTTTTTTTTTTTTTTTTTTTTTTTTTTTTATGCCGCCTCGCCCTTGATTTTGTTTGTAGCCGCCTCGTCCTCAATGCCTCTCTGAGCAGCACCTGGCGAGCGAGCGGGAGAAGGCGAGACAGAGCGGCAAAAGAGAAGATGAGGATAATTTGCAGACAGCTTGTCTTGTTGTTTTCTGGCTTTTGGGGACTAGCAATGGGAGCTTTTCCTAGCAGCGTCCAAATAGGTAAGCGCTGCATTGGGCTGTGTGCATGTGCCCAGGGCTTCCATCCTTTGCGAAGTGAGTTGGAAAAGCGCTGCAGGCAGTTGGCAGATTTCTGCTCCACCGCTCATCCCATTTCCCTGCCTTCACGAAAAATCCGCGTGTGTCGGTGTGTGCGTGCCTCCGTCTGTGTGTGTGTGCACACAGAGATGCGTGTGTGCTCGCCTGTGCAGGGAGGATGCTTGCCTTTTGCAGAACTCGTTCCAGCTACGGGCTGTGTGGGGTCGGCAGGGGAGGAAGGGGCTCGGGGCTATTGCCCCTGGGCTACCTCGGCCCCCTCCGGCAATCCCCGCTTTGCCCTGGCTCCCGGAGGGATGGCGAGTTATGTGCACCGGAGCTTGCGGTAGCGGCAGGGCTGGGGGGTAGAAGGCAATGCTGCCTTTTCCCTTCTCATAGAAAGTTTGGGATTTTGTAGGTCTCTCCGTGTAGTCCTGTGCCCCCTCCTCACCCCTTTCCCCTCGCCTCCTGCTTCCCTCCTTTCGGACACGTTTCGGATGGGACGCAGCTATCTGAATTCTTTCCAGCTTAGCTCCATCACTGCATCATTTCTCGTGGACTTGTAAAAATGCTGCTAATAAGGCTGAGCTGCTCCCTGCCTGCACATGGCTGCAGAGGAGCAAAGTTCGTTATATTCCTGCTCAGTGCAGATTATCCTACACTGAGCTGATTTTTTTTTTTATTATTTTTTTTTTTTTTTTTAATCCAGAAGGCATCGTTCCCCTTAATCAGCCCGCCACTTAATGTGAGAGGCTGTTGAGTAGCTGATTTACCAGTGTGTTCGGTATCAGGGAGATGGAGGCTAAACACTTTCAAAGGTCACTGTAATCATGACAAATCTGGGTATTTATGTATGAAAGGCTGGAAACTGAGAAGTCAGAGAAGAAGCATGAATGCATCAGGGAGGTTCAAATCGATTGAAGACAGTGATTTAAAGGTAGCAGTTGTGATTACGAATATGATTAGTTCCTTATCCATTAAAGTCTTAAGGACTTGCCTTACTGTGCAGCTTTGGGAGAGACAGTTGCTTGGTGTTATAAGACAGTAAGTAGCTTGCAAATAATTCACTCTGCTTCCTTTGCTTTTTGCTTTTTTTTCTGTTTTTGTTTTTTTTTCTGTTTTTTGTAGGTGGTCTCTTCATCAGGAACACAGATCAGGAATATACTGCTTTTCGATTAGCAATTTTTCTTCATAACACCAGCCCCAATGCATCCGAAGCACCTTTTAATTTGGTTCCTCATGTAGACAACATTGAAACAGCTAACAGCTTCGCTGTAACAAATGCCTGTAAGTAAACATGCCATTGATCTGACCACCTTACGAGTACATTGCAGTGGAAATAACAGGAAACCACAGCATTATCTTGCATTGGAAATACATCAGTAAGTCTGTCTTCAGTATAGATACCCTTTGAAGAAGAGCAAAAGGGGCAGCAATCCTTGTTAGTTTCTAACTGGAGCAAAATCCCCTCTCCTGCCTTCTGCTGACTAACCTGATGTGACATTTACCTTAGTGTTATTACTGTAGTTTCTTGCTTCTCGGTTTCTATGGAGATTAATTTTGTTGCTGTAAAGAAGAATTATGAATGTCTCGATCGGTCCGTAGACCCCACAGTTATAGTTGTTTGCTTTTGGGTATGGTGTGCCTTGCATGTATTTTAAAATATACAATAATATTTGTGCTCGCAAATGCTTTTCTGATGGCTGGAAAGGACATAGGGAAGCAGTGGTGTGCAGGATAATATATCTGAGTTGGTTGATGCTGCAGTTGATCTGGTGATGTCACTTGAGGCAGCCCCGCTCTTATATTCTAGGTTGTAAATGTCTCTTATCATCTCATAATGCATACATCCTGTGGATATGTCTCTATGCATCCATACATTGGTGCCAAATCAAGTTAGTATCTGATCTACTTGATTTCACAGACCACCTCAACTGGAACAAATATTCTCTTCCTGTTATATATTTTATACACACACACTCACACATACACAGATGTGCATACACCATGAGAGGAAAACAGAAAAAGAAATGCCCTTACCAAATGAGGTAACATTTACTTTTTCTTTTTTTTTTCTTTTTTCTTTTTTTTTTTTAAAGCAGAGTAAAATTAGGTGAACTTCCTCCATTTAGATCCACCTCAGGAGCTTTAGCCTTGGTTAAAACACATGCTGGATACTGCTTAACCTCTGAAAGTGGCAAAGCGTTGTTTCTGTTTATTTTCATGTATGTCAAGCTTATACAAAGGAATTCACATTATTATGTAAGACAGTGGAATATAGTGTGGCAAAGCTGAAGACTGTAGTAGATTATTACTTTGATGTCCGCATTTCAGGATTCTATAGGTTTTCCTCTGTGGCCTTTAAGTTTTTTAATCCCTCCTCTTCATTCAAGAGTGAATTGTCTGTGGAAGTAGATGCCCTAAGCAACATTGCTGAGTGAGTTTAAAATAGAAACATACTGGAGAAGGTCTTACTGTCCATCGTGCCTTTAAAATAAATACTATGTTTCTCTCCAGTTTCTCACAGACATCTCTGTGTCACATTTTAATATGTAAAAATACAATGCTCTCATGTATCATTTATTGAATGATTGCTAAATTTACTTATACAAGTCTTTGGTACTCCAAGTTTCAGATGACCTTGCCACCTTATTTAACAGGAAAAGCTGCTAAGCTGCCAAAATGGCTCCATTCATTTTATGCAGGAAAGATTGATGTCCCATTAAGTGTGAATTCTATATTAAGCAATGTATTAGTTGTGTTTAGTGTGAAAATCAATATAGAATTCCATAACGAGAAAACATTTCAAATGGTGGTTTGAAACTGGAAGGAATCGGATCTGTGCAGGTGTAGTTAATTGAGAAAATATTACAATGCATCTCAACTTTTGCAGGCATTGATTATATATTCCATGAAGACAAAGGACACAGTAGCTTTTTTAAACTTTAATTTTCAGTGAAAGAGGAGGGGACTAAAATTTTTGTATGTTGAAATTAGTAATTTTAGGTGAAGTCAATTATTTTAGATTCTGCCTACGCATCCAGTTCTACCAAATATTTTCCGAGGCTATTGTTACTTTTTGAATTAAGGGTATTGCACAGTATTTCTGTTTGAACGTTAGTTAATTAATTCTGTTTTGCATAAATTTAAAATTGTCTAAAATTGAACCACCTCTCTGTGTAAGACTAACACCATAGATTCAAAAAGGGTTTGCCCAAAACTTTCCTCATTTAGACTATTCACAGCATATTCTTCTTTCTCCTTCCAACCACCTTAGGTTATGTTTACCTTGCATTGTTTTAACTGAGGAAAACCTGTCCTCTTATATTTGATGTCATTTATAGAAATACTGATTTATAACCTGATCCTTTTTTTTTTAAAACTGAACCCAGTTTCACTTGCAAAGAGTTTAATGACTTAGAGATAATGAATCTTTACAGTTTGGGAGGAGGTAGAGAAAGAGGGGGAAAGTAAATGTGTATGTTTATGTGTGTGTATGGTCATATAATTTTGTACATTTCTGTATTAAACAGGCGTAATCCTACAGGCCTTATTTAGGTCTGTACTTCCCACTTAAACCAACATGTATTTTTGCATTAGTCTAATTAAGTATTTATTTCACATTTTGTAGTCTTGTGCCAATAATATGACTGCTGCTTCTTTTTTGAAATATTTTAATACTGAAGAATGTTTTTTAAACAACAAATCTTCTCCTAATGACACTTAGGCAAACTGACTGACAACTGAATGAACACATCACATGTCCCTTAAGCTAAATATGAGCAGAATCCTGCAAAAATCAATTGCCTGATAGCTGGAGGACACTGGCTTCCATGTGATTGAATTTGCTGGCTTGACAGAGGCTTCTAAAGCGCAGATGTGTGAGATTTTCTAACCTAATTAAAGAACCCCCACCATCAGCTCTGAATTAAGTGATTTCATGGCAATATGAAATGATAACTTTTTGCTGAACTGCTGTGAAACAGCAGCTTTGGATCTTGCTATTTGTGTAGAAATTACTCAGCACACACATCCCCAAATACACAGTACAGAAGCCTTAGAGCTGCTGGACTGAGATGAATATTCATGTGAGTTCAGGCATAAAGCTCTGAGACATGACCAGTTACCTCTGTTTCTATTTACATTTGCTGCAAAGGTTACTTGTGAAGATTCAGGGCTTGGCCCCTTGCATGTGTTAGGGACAGTAAACAGACTATTTAAAGGGATTATGGATGGCATATTAGCAGGTAACTCACTGCAATATTGGAAAAATGTGCTAATTATTTTCTTTTCACTAGATAAAAACATATAGCCAAATGTTTACCTAGAGTACTTTTGGAACTGGAATAATTTTGTATATTCAGTTTGATATCTATCTTCTAATGGTTATCTTCTGCATTTTTGTTTTCTCTAAACAGGCCCAGAACATTATCATTTTTTTCTAAATCAAGAATGCATATAAAACAGATTGCTTAAGCAGATAGTCTCTGTTGTAAGTTTGCAAATTTTATCTCATCTATATCAGTTTGGAGCTAGTTGTCTTTCTTTTCCCTTCTCATTTGCGTGTTTTATTTAAACTCTGTTCATTTCTTTTGCACTACATACATTATTCAGCGATTCTCTCTTACTGACAGAGAGAGCTGAAATTATTGCAAAACATGAATAGTACAAGATTCTTACTCATCAGAACACAATACACCAGAGCTGAAACATTTGAGTATTGGCATACATTGGTTTGCACATTAAAAGCAAGAAATTTTGCTCGTGATTGGAAATATACCTTCAGCTTGATTTCAGGTGTTGGAGCAATGCATTGATTTTTGGAGAGGATTGTATGTATTTATTCTTTAGCTGAATGCAAAATAATTTTCTCCACTCTATGCACCATCTATATTACATTAGTATATCTCAGCAGCACAGTCAACATTAACCTGCTTGCATACTTTTGAGAGGGTAGCTCTATAATTTTACAAAGAACCATTTGCCTTCCAGCTCCTGTGTTGTGATTGTGATTTTTTTCTGTTGAAGTTTCAAAAATCCTTAATGTATAATCAGTCTTGCAGTTCTTGTACAGGGTTGGGCTAAATGGGGAAGAAAAGAGTTTGATTCAAGTCTTTCATCAATGTTTCATATTAAAAGTAAAGCTTTTCCCTTTGAGTCTGTTTGACTTCACGTGTATTCTCAGATGAATATATTCCTAATAAAAGTGTAATTTGGGGTAAATCAGACACTCCTCATTTCATTTTTTGCACAATTCAGTTCTTACCAGATTTTAATCCTAGTAGATACAAAATCCCCAAAATACAACTTTGTTTATTATGTGCCACAAGTATCAGAAGAAGAAAAGCCCACCGGAATTAAAAATTTTGTATCTTGGAATAACTTTCCTCTTTTTCCAAGTGTTAGTGTCTTTGACTTTCATGTCCTCTGGAGTAACGCAGGGTTGATGCCCTGAAATTGGAGGGCTTGATTCTGCCTCACAAGCACAAATGTAGTTTCTGAGTGAGATCCACTGAAGTCGGAGGCAGCCCTGAGGAAAGACAAGAACCTCCCTCATCTCCCTGCCCTCTCTGTGGGTCTGTTTCTGGGCTTGTGCTTGCTAGTGAGGGGAAAGGCAATGTCATTTTGGAGTTAACTTTTCTGCCGAGACATCCCAAAAACTGAGGAAATAGACTCAAATATAGTATTGCCTTTATATTGTGACTATCTGTCATTTTACTTAGGGCAGTTTCAGCTTTGATTTGCTAAGCTGCATCATAATGGGATTTTCATTAAATTTGGTTATTAATTCTGCTTTATAATTACAACTCAATTTAGCAATAGGAGTGTAACCTTAGTTTAATAATCAGTGTAATTTAAAACCATGGTGTTCTTTATTTAGAAAGTGAGGTTTCATACAGCTGAATGGTATTTTGCTATCAAGAGCAGTACAGTATTCCCAAGGATGCAGTTTGGAGTATATTGAGAGTTACCATAAAGGCGTACCATACAGTCAGGTTTGAACTGCAAAAGCAAATAGAGTGCCAGTTGGCAAGAAAAATGGAACTGGATTAAATTGTACCCTTCTAAAATAGGATCGATGACAAAAACCCATTTGAAGTGAGTGTTTTGCTTTATCTCAAGCTAGTTTATCTCAAGCTAGACTCCAATTATTGAAAACACTTCCTCTTAAAATTTGTATTATTAGCACTTGCTGATGGAATCAAAGAATATATGTGTACTTGGGTGTCATTTGCCATAAGAAGGATTCTGTATATTTTTAAGATAGAAGAAGATCCATATTCAAAGAGTTTCA